CCCCAAAACCCCAAAACCCCGAGCCTCTTTTGCAAGTTAAAATAATTAAGAGATAAAATTAATTTAAATTTAAATGGCTATAAATTTGCTTAAAACTATAAGGTTTTAGTAGTAGTCATTTATCTCGAGATCTTCAAGATACCTTTCATCTAACTCAGCTAATCAACATGATAAAAAAGCTTTTCGTCCTGAGGAATTTGAATTTAATTTGCATGACTTAGTGCCAAAGGATATAAATGCTATTGAGAGATCTAATGAAGATTAATCTAAGGGATTGAAGTATTATCTTGGTCTATCTTCAGATTAAGCGAATGTGTAAAGCCATATATCATTTTATTCTGAAATAGATACCCATTTTGGCAATAGTTGACAAGGGAAATAGTGATTCATATTAGATCAAAGGAATTCCGTGAAGAATTTTTAAGTTTGGTTAGAAATGATGAGATCCATATCAGATTATTTTCACTTCATTTATTTTTGCTCTCTGAACGTCTTAAGAAGCTTCATGCGCCTCCACTTACCAAATTAGGGGTATCTAGATATCTTGAATTAAAAAAATCTACTTTACTTTTGAACAGCAGAAAATTTCCAACCTAGTTTCTTTACTATGCATATGCTAATTTTCATTCTCATTTGCCAGAGGAATTATTCTTTGAAGACTTTTGCAATTTTTTCAATAAGTCCAATGCCTAAACTTTTAAAGACTATTAAAAAATATTCGAAAAATATGACAAGATCAATGAAAACCAAGAGTTAGATAATGAGGAATTTTAAGAAGAGCAAAAGTAAATAATTGATGATTTTAAGCAAACAATAGTCAAGTAAAAATATTGTTATTAACTATAATTTAGTACAACATTGGATAAAGAATATGAGATAGATGATCCAATGACATAAAAGCTTGCACTCTACACTTTAGCCCATGTAAATTTATCTCCTTATAATTCTTAATTTATAATTAGAGAAACTACTTATAATCATTAAACTACACTATTCTGAGTTAGTATAAAGTGAATTGGGGTCTAAGAAAAATAAGAAAATTAGATGATAATAGTGGAGATTAAAAATAATCATGAAATTAAGATTAATCTTTTTAAAGAAAACTTATCAAATTGATTTGTTTATAACTGCTGCTTCTTTCATTCTAATTTTTGCTTAATATTTGATTTCAGTAATCAAATATTCAAAAAATCATCGTCTATATCCTTCAGCAACTCATCTGCTATTCTCTCAATATCATCTAGTTTTTTTCTTGATTACTCTTCATCATCCTCCTCATAATTCTTGATGAAATTTTAATTAATTGTGTTGTTATTAATCCCCACTAAATTTTGTAAATTACTTGAGAAAAACTTTTCATCCTTCAGCATTTCTCTGTCAAACTATTAATACCCACCTTGATTCATAGTCCTTATCACACTATTTTTTTATTCTAAATTACTTCCAGATAACTGCTTGCTCTAGAGACTCATTACTTCACTATAAACCTTTTGCATCTTACTTTCTCCAAATCTAGAACTCTCGTTTTAATTGGCATTAAGGTTGCTATTACTATTTTTGAGGTAATGTTAAGAGAAAGGATAAGGAATATCATTTAGATTCTTCAGAGAGCCATTATTGCTATCTAACTTTGATTGAATAGGACTTTAAAGCCAATTACCCATGCCTATTCCGTTTCCTCCGCCAAGTAGTGTTGGATTTTCTTGCTTATTTAAATTCTTTGGAATAGAGTATGGGTTTGATAACTATTCTGCTCTATTTTTAACCTAATTTAATCCTTTTGGAAGACTCAAGAGCTACTTTTATTTACTAATTGTTTCCTAGTTAGAGGGACTAAAAACATTATCTGCCTGCTTAATCTTAAAATTATTATTCTTAGATGATGTAAATGATTGCTACTTTACTTCCTCAAATAAAGTATCCCTCTCGCTTTTTAATTACCTTATTATTTTATCTTTTGATTTAAGCTTTTCTTGAAAATCTTTATCTATATCCTCTATCTCCTACTTATAATCTACCTTCATTTACTCTTAGTCCTTCAGAACTTTTTCAATTAATTGCTTATGTTTTTATAATTCTTTACTTACTTCATCATTCTTTTGCTAAAAAGCTTTATCCTTAGCTTAGAGAGATTAAGAACATACCTGCTCTATTTCTCGAAGATCTTCTTTAGTCTTTTGCAGTTGCTGCTTCAATTATCTGACTTCTTCTTCAAGCTGTATGTTATAGTCTGTTTAAAGACTAAGGTTTTCTTTAAGTTTAATTACTGCCAAATTGAATTGATCTTAATCTTTGAGATTGGTAAGTTGTAACTACGACATTTATATGTTTTTATTTTAGAGTTCAGCCTATTACTCCTCATAATAGACCTTAAAAGCATCAGCTGAGATGAGTCTCTCATTTAATTCTGAGATCTTATACTCTAACTCCCTATTTTTATTGCTCAAAATTGTATTTGTTTAAATAAGCTTTTAATATTCAGTAGTCATATGTGGAGGAGTTTGTGCTCTAATTTCAATTATCTTCTTCATTTAGGATATTTTCAAATTAAAGTCATTTAGAGTCAAAGCTTTCTGCTATAGCAAATTTAACTACTTTTCCTATTACTCCTAAGTTTACTTTTGTAAATTTTTTAAGTTATATTATAATGTTTATCTCTCTGTCAAATAAACTTATACTTATTATTGGAGTATTTGGTTTTCCTGCCCAAGCTTATTTAATTAATGTTAATTTACTTAAATCTCAGAAGTTAATTAGCTTAGTTAATTATCTCTTAAAACAATTGATGATTAAGAAGTATTTAGCTCTTTGACTAGATTTTCCCTTTCAGTTTTGAAATTTTTAAGATTATCTTTTATGATAGTTTCATACCTTTTCTTATCAACAAGCAATTCATATACTTTTTATCTCCATTTTTGTAGCAAAGTTTCAAGATTAGCTTGATACTGCATATCTTAAAGTGGAAAATTCTCCTTATGGGTCTCTCTTACGCTTTTCTCCATCATGCTTATAATTTCTTTCAGACTATTTACTTAGGTTTTAAGCTGATCACACTCATTCATATCTTTGAGTTGCTGTTATTGATCTTTTTTAAGCTTTTTTGTTGGTTTATTCATTTGTGTTGACAATTACTCATAAAACAAAGATTGAATTTCTTTGTTTTGTTTTAAATTGAATATTTCAGTATTATTAAGACTTTGAGAAATATCTATATTGGAGGATGCGTTTAACGATTTATTTATTGCTCCTGTTGGGGGACTCATAATGCCCTAATTAATCATCGAAATATTTTTCTGATAATTCATTTTATTATTATGCTGGTTTTGAGGACTTAAAGTTTGACTATTTGCAATACTTTGCTAAAAACTTCTGTTTTGAGACGAATTCTATTGATTCATATTATTTACCATCATTTGCTAAATATGCTGCATAGGCTCTTAATAATGATATTAATTAAGGGGCTGATAATTTTACTACTACTATTAGAACTATACTTACTATCTATAATTCTATTCTTATTCAAATCCATTTCCATATTAATTTACTTGCTCTAAAGCCGCTTACATTTATTAATGTTTTGGCAAAATTTTGTTAAGTAATTTTTATGGAGAATTTGAATGCATTAGTTTTTCTTGAATTATTCTCTTTTATTCAATATCATGCATCTAGGATTCTTCATCGAGGAGTTCAATTTGAGGAAGTATCTACATAATTTCACTTCTATATATATCAAGTCTAAAATATTCAATATTAAAATTGTCATTCAAATTACTTTTTATTTGAAATTGGGTTTCCATTCAAATGAATCTATCTTAGATTGATGTTGACTTTAAGTTTAACAATTTCCCTTAGCTCACTTATAGCATTATGTCTTAGGTCAAGTGATTGTAAGTTTTTAAGAGCTTATAAACCATCAAGATTGCTTATTGAATTGTGAGAGAGGTTCAGATATAGAAGATTCTGCAGATATATCAATCCATTTCCAATGTAAACAATTTTATTTTGCATAAGATTTAAACTTTAGAGTTATGGAAATACTTCTAGATTCTCAATGGTTTCAATATCTATAAAACTTTGGCCTTAAAGGTTATTTACTATTATTTTGAAAATTAAGACTAAGAGGCTAATGATGAGTTCTTCTGATATCATCTAGCAACTATTTAGAGATTTTTGTTATCATTTTTAAATTTGAAATTATTCATTACTTTTAAATAGCATTTTTTACAGAAGCAAGGGGTTTTGGGGTTTTGGGG